TGGTAATAACATAACCATATTAAAGCAACACTACGAAAAACTTCGTAGCTCAGTAGTTGGCATTTATTTTCTTTTCAAACTGCTACATCAATTATTCCGTATCAATGAAACGGATGGCTTTGCGGAGAACAATCCCGTGCAACTTCCAGCAGGAATGGGCTTTTTGGATTTACAATTACGTCTACTTTCCCATTTAACGCGTCCACCAACATATTACGATATTTAAATTTCATTTAAAAAAGCTTCTAAACAAACAATGGGGAAAGTTTTTAATCAAGATTACCTTACGCACGGAATTAATTCCTAATTAAAGCCGGGAATTTCGCTATATATGCTTTAGTGCAGCTGGAATTTTCAATTTTAAAAGAAAACCACGCGCACAATGCACAATTACGCGGAGTCGCAAGTTCTCGTTTAATTTAATAAAATCCGTTATGTAAGCGGGCATCTGCAAAAAGCGGACAAATTAGCACGATGCCGGTTGAACAGGTTCCTTCCGTGCACTTTGTGTTGGCCCCGAATTATAACTGCTTTATTGGCCATATGGAACAGCGATCTCGTAAGGTGAATTAAAATCGTTCTATTGTTACAAGTAAACCTGCTACTTTAAAAGACGATAAATAAACAGGTCCGGCAGCGTATAAGAGCATAATTAATTGTATAAATGTTTTGGTTGTCGGCACCATTCGCGATGCAAATTTTATGTCCTACAATCTGCAGCTTTACTTCATTTCTGTCGTGGTCGGAAAGTATTTATTATTATTTTTTTTGTATATATGAACCTCCTCTATTTAGTTTAATTTATTTCTTTATTTTATTGCATTCGTAACTAAAATTTCAATGTAGAGGCAAGGGATAAAATCAAAGTGTACAAATATAACTTGGGACATTGGATCTCGTATTGTTTGCTATTTTCCTATATGATGTTCGCCAGTGGTTTTTGCGTTTTTCCTTGTGCGAAGATGATCTAAAAATTTCAAAATCTACGTCTCGTTGAAGAGAGATTTGTCAAAAATATTTTTCTTCGAACAGAATGTTTGTTAACCCTAAGAAATGTCACTGTGTTTTGTTTACAAAAAAATCACCACCATTGCAAATTAAAAATGATCTCTACCTAGATAACTACAAACTGAACTTTTCGGACTCTGTAAAAGACCTTCTTTTTGAGATGCACGTAGAAAACATTGTCCAAAAGGCTCCAAAGAATCTTGGATTTATTTTAATTTTAATAAGAATACTTTTTCACAGTCTTATCAGACTCGTGTTGGAATACGCTACGCCAGTCTGGAATCCAACGTATTTTAAATATATCGAACATTTTTTTAGTTATAGTGAAAAACTTCATTTTTATTGTATATAAATTCACAGAATAAATTTTGATTTATTAATTTAATTCCTTCAATTTTTATGTTGTTTCACATACGTTTTTATATTTATTTATTTTTTTTTTAATATTTTTATTCTATATAATTGCGGTGTTCTATATTTTACATATGAATTTGCTGGTTCATATTTGACCTCGGGCAACAAAATGCACAGACTTTTGGCTAATTTAAGGCTACTCCTTTTATTCCTGGCCATTGAAGCGTCTAAACAGCTTTAAAATATTGACAACGTAACGGGCAAAATACGTCACCGATAGAAAGTGTCGCATATGGCTTAATATAATAAAAAATACGGGCGCCAAACAAAGAGAAAAACAACGCCTGTCAATTAAAACTGTAGAGCTAATCGACGCTAAACGTATTCGAGCATAGATAACGAATCGGTAATGCGATTCCAATCAGACAGGTTCCGGCGCGACCATATGTTATTTTTTTCACAATGCCTTCCCGTAGGCGTAGGCGATCGAAAGCGAAAAACAAAAACATATTTGTTTTACGCTTGCGCAATAATCGGCATGGTAGCAATGTCAAATTTAAGTGGATTTTGTTTAAGTATGTCGGCCCCAAAATGGCGAAACGCGCCACATAACGAACCCGATGCGTAGGATAATTATTATTATTATTATCATCGACTCCGGAATTTTAACAATATTTGCTCAAGCGAGCGGATAAATATAAACGCTTACCCGACGAATTACGTATGTATTTCTTTCTCCGTCCGCAAAAGGGTATTACTTATTGGTTTTTCGAAAATAAATGTAAATTGTCCTGCGGCGTATTATTTATTTAAGACAAACCGCGCACATGTCCATTTTAACCATTTAACTAACTAGTTCGATGATTTATTTATAATATTTCAAACTCCTTATGGTTTTTAACGAGAAAGGTAAACGCGAGAGCAAATTTGATGCCCAACGCCAGTAACGATAACCAGAGCAAACGTCAACCTAATTGTTTTTCGTTTACTTAATGTGGTTAAAAAATACAAAATGAAATTCAACATCCAACGTTTTGTACAGAGTATCACATTTTGTGCACTTTTACGGGTAGAATCCACTGGAGTAGTTTTTTTTTACTCGCCCTAACCGTTTTTTAGTTATGAAGCAAAAATATATATTTCTAAATCGAACACCCTATATATTATTTTTCATATTAATTGGAAATCATTTAAGCTTTTCAAAAAATTAAACCCAAAATTATTTTTTTTTTCATTTTTTACTTCATTTGTAGCAGTGTGCCATAGTAAATCAACTAAATCAAATAAAAATAAGATACATCTAAGCCTATGCAGTTATTACTATACAAGACTCTTAATTTAATATTTAATATGATAAGTAGATAGTTGCCTATGACTTACCTACGAAAAACAAAAGAGCAAATATGTCAAAAACTTACGAGACTGTTTTTAATTCTATTTTTATTACCTATCCATTTGTTCTTTCTGTGTTTATATCATTTGAATTAATTTTCGACAATGCAATGAAAATGCCGAAGAAGCTTCCGAATTATATTACCATAGGTAAGGTTTTTAAGGAGATATAGTCAGTATAATTTTTATATTACGAAAATGTATTTTGTTTATATTAGATATCCAGAGAGACGACAACCGTTTCCAGATATATTTGAAAATAAATCTAGTTAGGCACGGATCCTCTATTCACCCACGTACTAAAGATGATTTTAAGTAGAATAGGGAGCAAAGAGGAACAAAGAAAAAAAAAACAATTTAGATATAATGTAATAATAATGGACTATAATTCGTTGAAAATTATTACATATAGTCGTCCATAATGTATAAAACGCAGTTAATTATTTGAGTTTTGAAGTATTGAAATTCTTTTATATTTTAGTCTTTACTTGGATCTTGTTTTTAATACATTAATCATGGCCTACTGTTAAAAATAAAATAAAATATGCGAAAAAATTAAATTTCGAACTTAATTTTCATACAGGGTGTTCCATTTACAAAAAAATGTTTGGTTCATAACTAATAATAGAGCAAGCAACGGAGATACGCGGGTGGTCCGAAAATCTAGTTGTGGATTTCACCCTGCATAATATAACAAAAAATGAGAAACGCGGTACAAGTTGAGTTGAAAAAATGGGTGCTTGGTGCTATTATTATGCCATTTTACTATTTCGCGCGGTAAGCACAATAATACAATAATAAAAACAATATGTTTATTCAGTAGACAGCGGGAATTATAAATTAAAAATAATACATCACATACAAAATATATCTACAAAATAAACAAATTCTCCCTAACAAACTTAAATTGTGCGGGATCTCATTTCAATTTTTTTTCAAGAAATACAAAGCCAACAAATATTACTTCAAATTTGAATAATCAAAAAAAAAATCTCACATGTAAATCTACTTTTTTTTTCTAATATTTCGTTTACTTCTTGTTCTTTATGCATTTATATTTAGTTCAGTTATTTATTGCTTCGAGGCTTACAGAATTTTTTGAAATGTCTTTTTTAAAAAACCTTGCCGTGAAACATTTCGCTAAACAGTTGTACACAAGAGTAATTTCCAGTTTTTTGGAAAACGATTTGTAGGAAATATTTTTGCACAATTTCCAATTTTTCAAGATCTATATCCAGTACTCCTGCTCAGCCCAAAACACCATACGGTGAACGTAACTGCACTAATGCATAATAAAGAGTTAACATTTAGTGTTAATTCAAACTATTTGTTACACGTAAATGCCATAAAAACTGTTTTTTGTTTTCATTAGCCGAAGACTTTTACTAGCTATTTTTCTTTTTCTCCATTTATAGATCTTTTTGGGACATCACTTAATAAATTTAAAAATAATGTTTTACTAATAATCAGAAATAGTTACAGAAATGTTTTTTTACAAGTTTTTAGGATATGTTTACACCTATTTAAGCGGGCACAGTATGCCTGTTAGAATAGCCGTTTAAAAATTAAATAAAACAACTATAGGTGGATGTCAAAATATAAATACTGAAAATTTTGCATCATTTTTTCCCTCCCGTTTAATTTGAATAGCAATTGTAATTTTAAGCTATTTTTGATTATAACTGAGTGTCGATTATAATGAAAATAGGCCCAATTTTCACGATTAAGAATTTGTTGTTATTGTCCATTAAAATAAAGAACTTTGTTGCCACTTATTTTTTACAAAAGTACATAAATACTGAGACATTAACAAATAATTACAAAAAAAGGACGTGAAAATAAAACATGGCATAATAAAAGCCCCAATATTTTCACACCAAAAATCTGTAACTAATGGGTTGCGCCCAAGGGTATTGTACAAAATGAATTCAATTTGATAAGATCCTGGACGCCTTACATTATAAACAGATTGCAAAAAGATGGAAACCACGTTATCGCTCACTAAAATCGAAGTTAAACGGGAAGTAACGAGGTACGTTTTAATATTAACGTTGAAAGTGCAAAGAACATTACACTTTAATAGTTATCCGAAAACAGCTGCTCTAAAGAATGCAAAAAATACAAAATTTAATATGCAGATCATATTCCATGACTTTGAGACAATTAACACGTTCTCACATCAGAAATTAACGATTCAATGAAAAAGAAAATGACCAGTCAACGGATAGAATAATACCAGTGTCTTCGTCGACGGAGCAGAGACCGCCATCTAGAAGCCAGGTTTGAAAGCGTGGACGCGACGCAAGCAGTTTTCTGCACCGTTGTTTAGCTGCTTTTATCGCCACAATGCGGACAACAAGTTTTCCAAGTCTATTTATTGTGTTCCTACATTGTTATCATCGAAGATAGATAACAATAGTGTCAAGACTTCAAACGATGGCAATATAGGTATGTAATATTGAATTATGTTTCTAAAGCAGCTAAAAAGGTTAAATAAAAAATTGTGGCTTCATATTTTAAAAGTTGCAGAACCGTTTTTATTTTAGGTACCACGAAATCACTGTCAACTATCGACTAGTAGCAATAATATGCGCAAAATGTTTATAGCAACGCATTGTTTACTAATATTTGAGTTTGTTAAATTTGGAGAAACAGAATATAGATTGTCAGTCATCTTGTTACTTGGCAACAATCTTTAAGTTAGCAATAACCACGATTGCTAACCGGACACACAATAAGTATGTTTGTAAATGGAGCTTACCTGTCTAGTCTAATGACGACGGTGCAGCGAAATACAACAAAACAGGTTATTTACTATCGTTATAAAGATAAAAATCTGGTGATATTGACTTTTATAATCCTGACCAGATTTTCTACATATTTTCAACATCGTAGGGTGGCTTATCAACGAAACTGTACGGGTGCTTTAAACAACGTTCTTAAGTTCAATTTTTTAAAACAATTTAATGTTATTTTTTGTGGCGACAAATCCATTGTTATAATGGGTTTTGTGAATAAATGATCTACCTATTTGACGCACCGTGTATATAGTTTAAGTATTTCTGAATAAGAATTCGTTGCCAATTTATTTTTTTTTAATCCCTAATAGCGTGCTTCTCTCTTCTCGCCGTTTTGTTAAATAGTCACAGTTGGCCGTGATTTTAAGTTGAAGGGATAATCGCAACAAGGTTTTAGTGCATTTTTCAGAGATCCATCCAACAGAAAAAAATGTTTAAAATCGATCCATAGACAAACATTTCACAAGGGCGTACAGCTCTTTAGTGGGCCACACCGTATATGTTGACGGTTATTTTTTAATGTTCTGTTTATCCTAGAAATGAGACCAACGTTTTTTTAAAACATCCAGTACAAAATAAGACACCACAAAACGAATAATTACTTGATTGGAATTTTGTAGAAAATTAAAGTCTACAATGTAGGACATTCACCTCCTATTTGGGTTTATGCATTTCTGGAATATAATTGCAAATAAAAATTATCAGCATTATCAGAATTTGATAACTAGAAAAGTTTTCTTGATTTTTTTAAACCTTCCTGAATCGTTCAATGATTTATAGTTGAATTAGTGGAAATTAATTAACAAAACTTACAATCCATCAATCAACGTATCGCATAGCGGGTTACAGAATTGAAACCCGATTATTAAATAAAATGAAAAGTTAATGCGAAATATTGGGTTGTTCGGAAAGTCATTTCGTTTTTTTTGGGGAACATGAAAGACAGTTTTCGCATAATGAATAAATATTTTATTAAATTATATATTGGCCATTCTGGTCCAACACCTTTTGCCATCTTTCTGGCAGTAACATAATTCCCCTCTCATAAAAGTTTTGGTCCTTGCCGGCAAAAAACTGGTTCAGGTGGTTTTTGACATCTTCATTTGAGGTAAAGGTTTTGCCATCCAAAAAATTTTGCAGGGACCGGACCAAATAGTAGTCGGAAGGCGCCAGATCTGGAGAATATGGTGGATGTTGCAGTACGTCCCATTCAAGCCGTAAAAGTTTTTGGCGAATGACCAAACTTGTGTGAGGTCTCGCATTATCGTGGTGGAACACTACACCCTTCCTGTTGATTAATTCGGGCCTCTTCTCTTTAAGTGAATCATTCATTTTGTCCAGTTGATGACAATAGACTTCTGAATTAATCGTGGTATTGTCCGGCAAAAGCTCAAAAAAAACGATTCCTTTGACATCCCACCAAACGGAGAGCATCACCTTTTTTTGGTGAATGTTGGCTTTTGACACGCTTTGAGCCGGTTCATCCATGACCTCTTGCGTTTAACATTGTTGTATACAACCCATTTTTCGTCCCCAGTAATAATACGCTTCAAAAATGGATCATTTTTTTGACGTTTGAGGAGCGAATCACACACGTCAACGCGACGACACAAATTTCGCTCCGTAAGGACATGGGGCACCCACACATCGAGCTTCGAGGTTAAGCCCATGCCTTTCAAATGGCCATAAACAGTCGAATTCGACAAATTTAATCTCTCACCGATCTCTCGTGTGGTTATTCGCCGATTTGCATCAACTAATGCCTTTATCGCATCTTTGTCAGCTTCGACCGGCCTTCCAGACCGTCGTGCATCTTCGACATCAAAATTGCCGGATCGAAATTTTGCAAACCAGTTCTGGCACTGGCGTACTGTTAACACGCCTTCTCCATACACATCCGTCAATTTTTTTCTCGCTTGGACAGCATTTTTACCTTTTCTGAAGTAAAAAAGTAAAATATGACGAAAATGCTGCTTATTGCTCTCCATATTTAAAAGGGCACCAACCAAAAACTACTGCGTAGAATTAATAGAACTTTTTCACACACAAGCCTCGCAATATCAGCTCTCAAGACATATAATGGTTATGCGGCTTAAGTGTGAAGTCGGTTTCGAAAAAACGTAATTAAGTCCTCTGACGGGAAAAAACGAAATGACTTTCCGAACAACCTTATATTTATCTCGGGACTATGGACGATGACACAAAATATTGTTTTCATATGATGAGGCAGAGAATACGAACATGGTAAAAAACCAATTGGAAAATTATTAAAATCGAAACGATATGATGACATTTTCAACATTGCTTAATGATACGGTGGAGTGAGAGTCGCGCCTATATCAAAAATGAAAAATAAAACCACCCAACCAATTCTACTAATAGGCAATTTAATTATAAATGTCAAGAAAGATTAAGAAATTCTATGAATCCGCTGACGTCGCGAGAATGCCTCTTTTGGTATTTTATTAAACCCGAAAATGGAATAAATTACGTGTATATGGCGCTTTAATAAACTAGATACCGAGTCATTTTTGTGGAATTAATTCATATGTGAAAATGCAAATAAAGGCGAAATTAATGTCGACAGGACTTAACGATCCATTTACTAACAAACCCATTAATATTTCCAATGTTACGAAATAGTTAAGAGCCAAAACGGAGGAGAATGTTAATACAAGGTGTTCATAGAGTAACACATCCATTTTATTATTTATTTTAGAGAAAAATGTTATAGATCGGACTAAAAGATTCATAATTATGTGGGAAACCAAACTAATATATTTTTTAATGGAAAACCCTGTATATTATGGCATGTTTACGAACAATATTTAAAAAATTTGTCACATTATGCGAAAATATCGAATTAAGCCAAGAAAAATAAAATCTAAATTGATAAATTTTTAATTTTGTGGTCTATAAATACCGAAATTCGTATACAGGGTGTTCATATAGTGTGTTAAAGTAATATTAAGTAATACATATTGTGTGTTTTATAAAAAAAATGAAAAGATGGACTAAATCGACAATATAATAATTTAAAATTATTTTCAAGTATTCCTAAATATGTGGGAAACACCCGGTATATTATTGTATTAGTAGATACCCCATTTTATACTCAATCACCTAATTTAGGGTTGTTATTGACAATAATGAGTGTTTTCGGATTTGTGGCCATTTTTTTCGTCATTTCATAACTACCTTACTACAGTCTTTCCTATAGGTTAGATCGAATCGTTAATATAGAGTCAGTAAAGTGAAAAATATTTATTTTCGTAAAAAAATCACTTCTATTAATACAACTTCAATTTTTTTTTTTAACGAAAATTTGTCAAATAATAAGAAAATATCGCAGTAAGCCAGGAAAAATAAAAATTAATTGGTAAATTTTTGCAAAAAAAAAAGTTAATTTAGAAATTCCGGCTTTCTTAAACCCCAAAAAATTATCGAACTCGAAATAATGGTTTCGGATAGCGTTTTTTAGTACAAATGTTCGTTCACCAAGCAAATAAATAATTATTTAAAACCTGTCAATTTTTTATTAGTTTTTTCAATTAATTTGGTGTTAGTTGCTTAACCGATGCAACTCGAACCATGAATTTTTCGATAAAACAAAAAAGTTCGACACGAAAAGAATGCATTACTGCAAGTGTTGCCTATGAACAGAACGAATGTCCCAAAATAAGATGCAACTTCGTGAAGAACTAAATGAAAATGATTATCAAATTAGATAAACATTTTGTGTGCACCGGCACTAGAAAGATAACGTTTTCGTATATATATTATTTTCGGGTGAAACGGGCATAATTTTCACTATTTGGTGTGGTAAAATCCGAAATAACGTTATAGGGCCTCATTTTTTTGAAAATACAATATGTTAGGAACTAATCAGAAAGAAGTGAGGCAGACAATGTGCTTCCGTCACTATGGAGGTTTCGCACAGAATGCCCATCGAGTTACGAAGTGCTTAAATAATTTATTTTTTCAACGAAGGTTAGGAAGAGGTGGCCCGACCTGATGCCCACCTAGATTTCCGGACCTAACGTAGATGTGTATAAAACAACCATCACATCATGAAACAGAGGATGAGAGAAGACTTTCAAAGTGTTAATCATGAAATGTTGACCAATTCTGCCCAATCGTTTAAAGATCGTGCATTGAAGTCGGTGGGACACATTTCGAGCAACCAATAAAATTAAACTTAATTAAATAGTTGCTTTCTGTTTTGCAGTTTCGTTCTTAGCTTTTAATCGTATTTTTCTGGAATTATTAGCAATTTTAATATTATCCCTAGCGAAAAATACTGTTTAAATTGTTTTTCCAAAGTTGCCCAGTTCATGGTTTTATTTTTATTTACATCTCGAGTATAATTAATGTAACACGTAACGAATCTGAAAAAATTATACTTAACTCGTCTCTGTTCACTTTTGTTCGAAAATGTTGTTCTTAAAAATATGTATAACTTAAAAAATTCTAAGTTTAGGTATAGGTAATGCTTAATAAAATTGATAGAGCATTAATAAGAGTAAGGAATATAAATATGATATACAGGGTATTCTTCCATTTGATTTTTTTCACAAAAATTAATATTTTTCATTTTGATTTGCCCCGTACAAACGATTCGAACTAACTTCAAGACAAGTATAGGATAAATGGCTGTCCCACTTGTTGGCGTTATAAAATTACATCGGTCTATAAGTAATAATAAAGTAAGTTACTTAATTTCTTACATTTGAATGAAAATAATTTTAAATTGTTTGTATTAGCGGAATGCCGACAACCAAAAAAAAAACACTATGGCCGGACTAACCTGGAAGTGCAGAATGATGGTCCAAATCAATCCGAGCGTCAGTTTTGGGTTACCGTCGACGATATCCTCCGACCGGATGTTGACCAGTTTTACGTTTTTGCAACGTAGAAAATGTAAGGCGGTATCGATGTTGTGCAGCATGTGGAAGCGCATTTGCCCTCTCTCCCTCGGCTAAAACGAATCAAAAATTTCCGTGAAAACCAGAGACGATAAGGAAAAAAAAAAGCGGACACACAGATCGACTAAACTTTTTATTTCATTTTCAAAAAATAATCCGTCACGCCACTGGCAATGGAAAAGCGCAAGACAGAGTGTTTTTTTTTTTAAGTTGTGGTCTATTTTATTGTGTTTTAATCAGGTCGTATAGAAAATGTAGTTGTAACCGATTGAAATGAGAAGAAAGAAAAAAAGTAGCAAAAGGAAAAATTCAAAGGGGCTTTCCCATCCAAAAATGCTCTAGAACATTTAATTTCTAATAGGCGCCATGTCGCATTTTTTTATTTATATGAATGATGTCTTATGTTATGCAAAATCGACAAATTCAACGAGGGCACCATGTCGGTTTCTTTCCCGAAGCAGGTCATTTTTTTAGACGAATGTTATCAAGATCGAATTTGAGCTATTCCGTCTGCTTGAACTTGAATGAATGAAATACCATTTTGACGTACACTGTGAGTACGGAAAACCGTACAATGCTAGCATTGTTTTATTTACTTACTGTTCGGAAAGTGCGTTAAGTTTTATCAAAAAGTATTTGTTTATTCATCAAAGTTAATGCTGTCCCCTTCAAAGTATCAAGTAATATGCAGAATGCTACTACAGATGACTGAGATGAAAAAAACGATCTTCTATTGACTGCATTGAAACAAATTTTGACCACATACAAAGCGAACTGGAAACAACAACTGAAACTATACGCTCATTTAAAACGTAAACCCTAAGAATTTTGCTTCTTTCAAATAAAATGGTAGTGGAAAATAATCGCCTTCTGTATGAAGATGTCAATGCATTTTTCCTCATAGAACTGTTTCACTTTTTGAAAAATAAAAAAAACAATTACTTCTAACCAAAATATGAATATCAGTTCCTCTTGGCGTTTTTATTTAATAAGACGACCCATTTCAACGAAAATTGTGGAATTCATTTTTTTACCAAATAATTCGAAGTGGTACAATAAATTGAGAGAAAGTAAAAAAAGAAATTGTTAAGCCTTTTTTCCAACTAAGGCTAAATTAGTAACAAATTCAAATTTCTCATGCTAAAAAATTCCCAGGTACTAATTTCGGTTTATAAATCGACGTTATATGGGAAATTGGGCAGAAAAAAATATAAAATTTGTTTGTAATAATCAAAGTGAACTCACAAGTTGTTCGCCAGTTAAAACTTCCAGGAGGGAGATCAGGTTGTGGCCATCTCGCAAATCTTCGAACAAGTCTCGAATACTCCTTCTTGCCTGTAAAAGAAAAATCCAAATAAATACACCCAATAAAATTGCGTGTTCATTAAAAAACATAAACTCCTAATTCTATACTGCAGGCATAAGTAATCTCATGCAGAGTCAATGGAAAAAAAAAAAAAAAAAAAAACTGTACTCGCTGAAAATCTCAGCAAACATAAACTAAGCGGAAGATCATGCAACACACCGCGCGCGTTTTTTATTTACAAAAGACTTACTGGCGGGCAACAGAGACTGTTGTTGACTATGACACAAACATGAAGGCACGTGTAAGTCTGGAATACCCAAAAACAGAATTTTAGTACGACGTATTACAACGAGGTTTTCATATCTGGCAAAACAACAAGTTATTTTCCAACGCCCGGTATAATTAATCTGTTCGCATAGCTGGCAAGCGTTTATTGCTTCCTCCTTGGTATTTGGCCAAATTTGACTTCCTACAATTTTTTGTAATCTATCGAAAATTGGCAAGGCGCTGTGGGTCAGCTAATTTTTTTTACGAAACCCGGGGAAATATCAATTTTTAGTAAGACATTTAAAACTACACTTAGACATTTTATACTACCCACTACTTTTTTAAAATATTGACCATTTGGGAAGAATGAGCAAGCACGTCAGGAAAATCTAATCAAGAATGTATCAAAGGAACATGATGAAATAACTATTATATGTCTAGAGATGAAGCTTTAGTAAATTTAAATAAACTACAAACTATTTCTAATTTCCAAGGTTATGATTGTTATTTTTAACGTACTGATTAAGTTGTTTGTCTTTTCATTCATAAAATAAGATATTATAACATGTAGACATTATATATTCAAATGCAATGTAACATAGTTATTGTACGACCAAAAATATAGTGCATTGATTGCTTTGACGTTTTAAGTATTTTGCCTTCGCAGAATCGAGATACAAACCCAAGTAGGCCTTGCCTTATATGGACCGTAAGGAATATTTGTAGAAGCATGAAATTTTTACTTGAAACGAAAATGGACCGTTTTAAATTTGATTAAGCATTGATCCTGCTGAAGTAGAAGTGTGTAGTGTGTAGAATTGCAAAATGTTCGTATATATTACGGACGTATTTGACTGTGATCCTTCCAGTAAGCACATGTTTATCAACCTGATTCTCGAGCTTTGACCCTGCGATACTGATTTGACAGGTTAGTTCAAAGGGTAAAGGTAAGTAAAGTAAGAAAATAATCATTTTTGTCCTGTGTGCCTGTCGATTAACAACGATCTTCTTGTATTTTTGTGTCTTGTACATAGTTCTGAATATTTCTTACAAATAAACTTTGTTTGAAGGATCCTGTTTTTTTAACGCTTTAAAATGTGGAGACCATGTTATGAAGCAGTTAAAAGAATACATGGAAAAAAACGCAGAATTTGAAGACGAAGTGGTAGTCGAGCCTAATGACAATTTAGAAGCAAATAAAAAAAACGGATCCCTTTATCTTCGAATGCTAAACAAATTATTTTGAATGTTTACAATTTTATAAGAAATTCAGAAGGGTGAATAGGAGCAGCCGAAAAGGATTGAAAACATTCTTATATCCCGCTTGTTAGTGTAGGTAGATAAATTCCTAGGACGGTCCTGGAATGGTTACGGGAAATAGTCTGCTCGGCAGAGTGTTCTATAAGGGGTTGCCGTTTTGGTGTAATAAACACTAGGCAAAGTCAATCACGGGGTCGGTTGTAAAAGCACTACATTTCTGGTCGAAGTATACAAGTTCAATAATATACCGAAAAAGCTAAACACCATTTATTAGTTATATAGTTTTCAATTATGAACAACTTCTCTTTACTCATTGTTAAACTGGTAAACAGATTGTTTATCTATTCTTTTGTATTTCAGTTTTTTCACAAAAACTAAGAAGAACAAAGAAAGAGGACGACTTAATTGGACTTACAGTATAAAAAAAGAACTACTGTACTAAGATTACACAACAATCGATCGGTAACATAACTTACTAATTAAAAAAAAAATCCGGATAATTTCGGGAATATTGAGAAAATATGACTAAACGTTTTATATTTGTCTCTTGCCATTACACGCTCTATAATTTCCGGAATGCTTTTTTAGCCATTTTATATAATATATTGCTTTAATAATATGTTATATTTATTACTGTGTCATTGAAAATATTGCACTAAAGATATCGATTGAAATAGCGATTTGATACTCAAATATTATCCTTACACGGTATACATTTTAACTCAATACAAGTGTTTAGAGGTTAAGACAACAACAAGTAATTAATTTCCACGAACTATTTCAGACATTGTCCGACTTAAAGACACCAAGGCCCAAGGCATCTCGTGTAATTCACGACGTTTTGCCATAAAGTCCCATTATAACCAAATACGAACGTTAATTATCTACTAAAATCAATACAAATTAGCGAAAATTAGAAGCGCAAAGTCGATCCGTCTCACAGAAACGGCTCGGGGGATTATTAACGACGCCGTAACGAAAAAAAGTTCGTGCCTTAAGAAAGACGCGACTGCGCTGCCACATGACTAATGAATCGGAAAAGTCGTAAAACGAAGCTCAGCGAAGATAACGCCTCGCTGACACCGCATCGAAAGCCCCATTTATTCGATTGTACACATTGTAAAATAGCTCTTAATTATTCCAGCCTTTCTATTGGCTAGTCCAAATAAAACTTTATTTCGCTTGCCGTGTACGCTCACCCGAATTTTGAACATTTAAGTGGCGCAGTCGGTAGGATTTTCTAAGTGCAGTAGTGGTGGACAATTAATCGGAAACTTCTGGGAGTTTCTGTGAAATCGCCAATCGTGGAAAGTTCGAAACTTTTGGCCATTCGTTACAAATCCTTCAGCACACAGAACCAGCAGTAAGGGAAGCAGAACGCCGAAGAGTTGGAAAATTGAGTCGGAAAGGAGACGGAGGAATACGAAACCGTAAGTGCCATTTCCTTTTGCCCCTCCGACACCCCTGTATAAGGTCACTTGAAGGGATAGTTAGGGCTCGCATTGCACGCGATTAGGTTAAGAAAAAAAGAAAACAAATCAAATCAAATCGTAAATGTACCAATTTTAAGATCCCAATAATTCAAAATCGATCAATTTTTATACCGCACAAGAGGAGAAGAAGAGACAATTACTTTTGTAAACAGAGATGCATGCGTGGAGATCTTATTCGACGACATCGCAATGGAAAACTGTCCCATTACGAAAATTAACCTGCCAGATGCAATTATAGAACAAATCACTCAAAATTTAGTTCTTGTTCTGCCACAGAAGCCTGAAAAACTGCTAATCAAGTGTAACGCCGATCGATACATGCAAATCGAAGTACCAGTACTGATTAAGATATCAGTAGACTGTTAAATAGAAATTGATGGAGTAAAATTCTTCAACGATTCGGAAAACCAATATTTTTATCAAAAATCCAGTCTTTCAAAAATAATATACCAGCTAAGAGACTTAGCATAAAAAATAACTCCAATGGAACCAGTGAAAGAAGATAGAAATACGTTCCAAATAATTGTTATTGAGTTTGAAATAATCATGCTTCTAATTTTAGTTTTCATCACTAAGAAGGAAAAGGTACGAGTCGCATCCATAGACGAAACCTGCCAAGGAGAAAGTTTTGAAGCTTTTCGAAAAAACACTCCGCTATTTTCGAAAGTTAAGCAAGCCCTCTTTATTCGATTGTCGCATAATAAAACTTTATTTTGCTGTCTATATAAATAAATGTTTTTAAAAACGCTGTTCCGAATTTTGAACATTTAAGCAACTCAACCGCCAAAACTAGTGATAAAGAAGTTATTAAAAAAAAATTCTTTTACGAGTTTTTGATTTGGATGAATTCTGCGCTATTTTAAGCTGGAAATTCTAAAATTTATTCGAAAAGTCGTTATTTTGAAAACACCTTGTAGCGCGATGTGTACGAGATGCAGAAGCAGCAGTTATCGCAAATCCATCTTGTTACAATACGAGGGTCACTTGAAAAGTTCGCAAATAGCAGAAGGACCTCCGTAAAACGTCCTCGAGATATCTGATGGGACATAGCGAATATCTTAGGGATATACTGTTCCCCTACAAGATTAGGAAAAAGGTCATTCCCGGATAATTTAGCGTTAGCCTATAATTTAAGTTTAATATACTGTCAGGTTAAAGGTAAAGGTGTTACAGGTAAAAGAGTAAGGTCATAATTTTATTTTGCCCTAAAAACTCGTTACGTTTCTCAGAAATGTCTAATTATGATTATTATAAAAGAAAATAATAAAAAAAATAATTGCGCACTTTCTACATTACGGACGTCCATGAACTTTTTCGTGAGTGTTGCACTAAAAACTGTGAAAACAAATGGTGCCATCATGGATATTGCTGTTCAAGGTATGTATTTTTAATATTTAGAATTATTGATTTAATTAACACATATTTCTTTGTTTTTAATGGCCCACCATTGTCCCTTTTTTAGTTTTTTTTAACGTTAATACATGTCAACTTTCAAATGCTTTACCTCTCGATGACTCGCAAGTTCTTATCCCTTCATGGTTAGCTTTACGTGCACGTATTATCCAATAGCGATATCAACGTAGCGTTTTGTTAAAAAAATTATTTATATCATTGTTTTTGTTATAGTGCATTATATATCTAGGGACTACAATATCACTGTGTATCCCAATTCGCCGAGAGGCAAAGCAAACTTTAGTCACCTAGTATATATGCTATTTTTTGCACTTTTGGGCCCAGATTTATTAAAGTTGTTTACTAATCTTTTCTTTTTATCAATTTTACACTAAAAAAAAATACATAAAAGACAATGTACGCGAAAAAAAACGTAGCGTTATTTTTTTCTTTTGTTTCAGATCAAATAGTCAAATGCACTTTCACGAGGATGTACCTTTGTGTTACTTGGTTAGCCAAGAAAGCAGACAAAAATTCGGAAAAAATCCGTGAAATCTTAGCCGAGTTGACAGCCGCTTTGCCCAATAGAGAGATAAATAAAACTAGAGACTACCAACTTGGAAAACCGTGTCCCCTATCTTTGTATTAAGTTCAGTGAGTATTGGAGGCAAACTTCTAGTTCTAGATCGAAACTAGTAACTAAGCACCAGGAATGGCTTAACATAAGCGAGCCAAAAAGATTTTTGAAAGAGTTTGAACGACCTAAACGCCGAAGATTGTCGGAGTTATCTAAAGTAGATAGTTCTACAATTAAATATTTAAAAGAAGATCAGTCTCAAACCTCCAGTTCGCAAATCGATGCAGACGAAATACTCTCGCTTTGTGTTGAAGCTAA